GGTTTCGTTGCTGGGATTGCTTGCCTCCTTGAAATCCAAGCTACAAAGGAATAAAAGGGAACTACTTCTATTCTTCTGCACTAATGATACATGAAGTGACTTGTTAGAAAAGAAGGAATAGCATCCTCTGCAAAGGCAGGAATTTTGACTAAGATTTCATTCTATCAAAGAAAGTAACTCTTGGTAGAGACTGAGGAATTTGCTTCTTTTGGTGCCAAGCACCCTATAAAAAATGTAGCATATCTATTTTACAAATATATTTCTGTTTTTCTTGCAATTTGTAAATAAGGAAACAGAAAATCCTGTAGGTGAATTATTTCTCTCTGACGTGATATTGTTGCCTGCATTTAAATTTTTGGACTACTTGGGAAATAGAAGTCACTAATGCCCTCATGTTCATTTGCGCTTCTGAGGAGTTTTAATGAGCTAATTGAGAGCAGTCTCCTATCTACTTGAAATGAAATAGCACTTAGAGGCATGGAAACAGAATCCACTCAAGATCTGGTTTTAGCTACAGGATTTGCAAAATGCCATACTTAAAAAAGAAAAAAAGTCTGTTCTTTTACCATGTTCAGAGTATGAGGAAGGACAGAGATCTACCACAACAGAGTTGCTTTTGCATGAAGAATTAGCCCTGTGTACTGACTGAGAAGGACCAGCCACCTCCCAGTTTAATGGCTAGCCGGAAGGCAAGGGAGAAAGGGACTCAGAGAACAGTAGGCTGCCAGGAGCAAGGAGGTATTCGATTTTGGGCAGTTGGAATTACACAGATGATAGCAGAAATTCAATGTTAATGGGAATTGGGTAGCTGGTGACCTCTACTACCTTAAGTGAAAAGGTAAATACAGCTGAAGTAAAAAGAAGAAAGCCCCAAGGCCGGTTTTGAAGCGCTGAAATCATCAATGCATCAATTCAAGGCATTTTAATTACTTTGGACATTAGCTTTCAGAGCTCACCGAAATCAAGCAGCAGGGAAGGATCACCTTGTGTGGGGCAGAGTGTTCCAGAAAGCTTTCATGCACCCTGGAGTATTGTTAAATCTGTGTTTTCCCAAACATGTTTATAGCAATAATAAGAATAGCTGGAAGAGATGCTGGGCAGCAAGCAGAGTACAAAGGACATAAACATTAGACCAGAACATAGTACAGTGAGATTCAGCACATTATCTCAGCTTCATACTAATAACACTGCTGTGAGATGTTTCTTGCCTGACTGACACTGTACATAGAATCAATCTAAGACTTAATATCAATTAGAGCAGGTGAGGGATAGGCATGTGTTAGGCCTGGTTTAGGAGGCTCAGCCCTAAGTTTGCACATAATGGACCCCATTCTGTATCATAGTGAAAACCAAACACAAATGTAATATTATTTTTGTTTTCCCAAGGGCCTTGAGTAAAATTATAGGCTAATCATTCAGCTAAAGGCAAGCAATGCCATAGGAAAGCTCCCCAGTAGACAGTGCAGGTCTCCATGGCAGAAGATGTGCAAAATCATTAGTACATTTACAGAAACTGCTGAAAATACATAACTGGCATTTAGCAAGGGAAGGCTGGAATGATTGCGTCTCTCCAGTGAAGTGGCTCCTTCCTTGAGAGGACTAAATATCCTGAATATTTGAAATTATGTATGTTCAAAGTGAATTGAAATTAAACTGTGAAAACACCCAAAACAGAACTAGATGAAAATTCAGACCAAAGCCATTTCTTGAATGTCTGGGGAGATGGTTAACAGCAGCTTTTCCTTGCAGAAGAGAGTTCCTTAATCTTAGAGAGGATGGAGGTGGGAGCTGCTGTAAGGCTGAGCACTGGCAGAGAGCTCCAGGACCTTCATGAGCTGTGCTTGTGACAGAGAAGTGGGGCAGCCAGGGGCTCACAGACTGAAAGAAAGGCAAATAATTAATTTGCCTTTGCAATGGTGTCAGGGTATCTACCTGTGCTCACTGTGTATGTGGCCAGACTGCCTCTCTCCTGAGACAGATCTGTGGCTCAAGCTGCTGAAGGTGAGGGAGGAGGTTGGTGCCAAGGCAGGAGCTGGGACTGGGCTTGCTGGGTCCATGACTTCCTATCTGCACTAGGACATTGGAACTGCATCCTGCTGTGGGGACAGAGTTCTTCCTGCAACAGACACTGAAAGCTGCAGGCAGAAAACTGATGTCTTTTGTCTTCCCTCCTGAGAGTGGATAGGACACATAAAAGGTTTGCAGCACTTATGGGAACCAGGACAGGCAATCAGGCAGGCCAGAAGGGCTGTCATAGGCAAAGGCGTCTGAAGGCATAAGGAGACAGGACCCTTATTCTGAGTCTCCTGGAAACAGGTCTCTTCCCACTAAACTTGCTGAAGCATGATTTTCTTCCTCAACAGCAGCAGAAGGAAAATGTTTATGCAGCTGACTCTTCAACCCCACATTCCAGCTCTGTCCTTGCCTAGAGAGCTCAACTCCTACTGCAGGAGAAGCCAGAGCTAACAGAAACAGGAAGCCTACAATGAGGGAAAGAAATGATAACAGAAGGTGCAGTAACTCAGTCATCTGGCTCATCCCTGTCCATTCTTCCTGAAAAAAAACTCTTTTCATTCCACTGCGACAAGCAGGAAAACTCCAGTGTGGCTGGGGTGGAGAGCTGGTGATGCACAGGGAAGATAGTAGCTCCTCAGTATATATCTCAATCAAGACACTATTTCGTATTGCACACAAATGCTCAGGCTGATGGTCCGTCTTGGAACCTGAGCCACAATTCAGATAGCTCTGCATACCTCTGCTGCTGAGGAATATTTCTAAATGCCCTCCAAAGTGAGCATCCTCAGTCCCCAGCACTGCTGCAGGAAGCAGCAGAACTGGCAGGGACATCTAGCTACAAGCAACAATGCAAAGCTGCTGTCTCACTGCTGTGCCAATATCCCCAAGTATGTTTTATTTCTAATGGGCCTTCGTGTCCCGTCCTTACAGCACTGATTAGAGGTGTTAACTTTACAGTTCTGTTACCTTGCTTTGCATAATAGGTATTGAAATAAGCTGAGAGGAAATTGATGCAGATACAGGTAATGGAGGATTTGTATATGCAGTCAAATAAATAAGCCCTATCCAGCAGAAGCAATAAACAGAGATACCTGTTTCTGTTGTTTGTTTTTTTTTTTTTTTACAACCCTGCAAATGTCCTCGCACTGTAGGAATTAATATCTTTGCAATTATCTAAGATTGACATTTTCTGGAACATACTGCACACTGTGCATTAGTCATAGATTTCAGATGATACTAATTCAACATTCATGAACAAAAACTGTGCCTGAAAGGAAGATTTCTTAAATAATTTGGCTAACACATAGACAATTCATGTTGCTCCTTTAAATCTGCAGAACCAAAGTGAATCTGTGTGTACAGGTCCAGAACGACAAAATCACAGATGAAAAGCAAAGAGTAAATTTATTTTCATTACCTTGACAACCAGAGGATTCCTGCAGCAGCACAAGAGCACAGACAGGGAATGCAGCTCAGTCCATGCTAGGGGATCCCCCAGTTGGATCCCTCAGCCCTGGCTGCCAGGCACCATTTGCCCTTCCTTACCCAGGCTCTTCCCCAAGGTGCCCATGGCTGAGGGGCACAGCTCTGCCCTGCGGTGCGGCCTTTGGAGCCGGCTGGGACCAGCTGTGTCCAGCACCGGGCAGCACTGTCTGCTCCGCACACAGGATGCCTGGGCAGCACCTCACTTCTGCTGGTGCTAACAGCACTTGGGCACCTGCACCCGGTACATGCTGACGTGCTGCAGGTGCTCTGGTTTGTGACATGGAATAGGGTATCAGTCAGCCAGGTAGAATTGTGTGATCACACCCTGCACTTTCCTCTTTCTGGGGCTAACATAATACATGGAATCATAGAATGGTTTGGATTGGAAGAGACCTTAAAAATCTCATCCAGTTCCAACCCCCCTGTCATGGGCAGGGACACCTTTCACTACAGCAGGTTACCCAAAGCCCCATCCAGCCTGACCTTCAGATTCTCCACAGCATAGTAGTACACCTCACACCTTTGATCCAATGGTATATTTTTGGTTTTCTATAACCCTACTCAAACTCCAGCAAAGAGCATCTTTTACTTTAAAGAAACAAAATGTAAACAAGCAGTACATGATCTGACTCCACTTAGTTTCTGTATGCAGTGTATGCCTACTAATGAAGTATTAAGGATTTTGGATCCAAGGCTAGCCATGCCTTGGTACGAATACATAAGCACGAAGGAATACATAAACACGAAGAAAATGGGTCCATGGTCATGGAATTTATTCTACTGGGAGAAATGTTTTGCAATAATTATATATTTACAATCTGTAATATAGTCATATCTCCAGCAAAAGTTTAAAAAAAACTGTAAAAGTGCACAAAATCTCTGTCAGCAAATGAACTTAACTACTTCAGAAGAAATTACAAGCAAAATTTATTCAGAATAGAAGACAATAATTTAGGTGGTATTTTGTCTTTCCCATTTTAGTATCATTCCTGAATAAATCCTGTATGGTTTTGTTCTCTCTCTGCAAGTGGCAGTTTTCTCTAGAACATGCTACAGAAGGTTTTACTGCTGACTTCAGTAAAGGTAAATCTTTGTTTCTGAAGACACCATCAATTTAACTTCTTACAGGATTCAACAGATAACAGCATTCACTTCCACACATTTTTTTTATCCTCAAAAATATGCAAAAATGAAAATACCAAGCCCATATGTGTACATTATATTAGTCACCAAAGGAAACCTCTAAGGCAAAATAAGGAAATATTAATGCAACAGAGTATAAATATAAATGAAATGCTATAGAAAGGGCAGAAGCCATTAGCTGCTCTAGAAAAATGAGAGGGGGATGCCTGATCATCTCAGACACAGCAGTTAAGAAGTATTACTACGCAAACCTAATGTTTTATGGCATTATCGAGGTAATGTTTTAAAAGGTACAGTGCATCAGGAACATGTCTGTTACCAAACTCCATCAAAAAAGTTTAATTACAGAAAATAAATTATTTTAATTTTTTTTTTTTTTTACAGACACTTAAGGAAATCAGGTGACAAAATACATTTTATAGACAAAACCAGTTTCTCTTGCACCAGTTTACAGAAGCAAGACAGTAAAAATAATAACCACAGAACTGATCTGAACAAAGTCAGTTCAGATGCAGCTAACTTGGAAAAAGCAATCTGACTCAAACCTGGCTCTGGGTCAGCTTGGGTTCTAGTGCCACCTGCTGAAATAACAGCATTTTCCCACTTGCAACCACAGGTAATATGCAATTTAAATTAATCCACTGCATTAGAGGGCAATGCATGAAGAAAAGTCACACAGAAGAAGAGATGCTTAAGTAATCTAAGTGCACATCAAGAGTGCCATACACCGAATCTAGTAAATTGAGAACCTTTTCTTGAATGATGTCAACCTGTTCTGAAGGGCAATAGTCATCCAAACTTGATCTGTAACAAGGAATTGAAAAAAGCGTGAATACAGGTATCACCACCATGACCACATTTTGTATTCTTCTAATGCTCTGCATCGAAGCTGAAGCTACTTTCAAACTGTGATGAGTTCTGCCTTGCAGTATCCCTTCAAAGCACAGAGCTCCTCCTCAATACTTTCAGTGGTAACAGTTTGCAAGTTTAATATAAAGTCTGTGGCAGACCAGGAATGTGACCTATTCATCCTTCCAATTCTACTCTCTTCCTCACTCTGACACAGAACATGTTGGCAGTCAAAGTTAAAGCAAATGATGTATTAAAGGACTGGTGAAAAGCTAAGATCAAAAATGCTACTAGAAAAATAGGTAGGAAAACTTGAGGGAAAAAAAATCTTCACAATCCTTGGAATATAACATTATTTACAGTATCTATTAATGAACTGCAAACAGCAAAAAAAACAGAGCTGATATTTCCTGGGTTTTATGTCTGTCAAGATCTAGATAAATGATTCTGCTTTCTCTGCAAAAGTGGATGATTACCATGCAGTTGGCACAGGAAATACAGCTTTCTTTTATTGCAGGTGTTAGCCATACTAAATCTTGTTGACAAGAACAATTTCATGTTAGCTTCTGCTATTGCTGACTTCCCTTAAAGGCACACTTACTAGTTTTGAAGCGATTAAATTACAACAATTTGTTAGCAGATACACTGTTGTCTTCAAATTAAGTTTTCCCAGGACAGATCCCTAGTTATCCCAGGTCCTTGGCCTCAAACTCCATCCTTTTCTCCCAAATAAAAGCGTAAGTTTTATCCCACACAAAGCTTTACTAGAGCTTTCTGGAATATACATTTCTTTCAGCCTAACAGATGAAAGCCGCTTCCATTAGATATTTTGGCAAAACCAAAAATCCTATCTGTAGTACATTAAGCCCTCAAGCAATAGAATAAAGAATGCATGATTTCAACCCATGCAGGCTTGCCCAAGCTAGATCTGCTCTAACTAGCACAATCCAAGTAGTGGAGAAGTATGAACCTCAGTGACAGCTATCAATCTCAGCACACTCAAGGCCTCATCACAGGCTTTGTACAGCCTGTACTGAAGCCGATTAAGTCATCATGTTTTTACTGCTTTTGCAATCGGTGCTAGCTATTCTAAATCCCAGTAAAATTGGCTGTCAGCACAGAACCTTCCCTTAGCTGTGCGTATACTGTCAATGCTTTATGTTAAATTGACAACTTTATCAGATATCAATTTTCACGACACTGGAAGGTTTCCATTTTAAGACAGAATAAAAGACGTGCCAACCACTGCTATATTGATAAAATTATTTAGCAATGTAAGCATAGTCTGAGAGTTTTAAAGTAGAAATCTGTATGTAGTCTTACCGAGCAATTGTCACGAGTGTGGGCTTAGGCATATCTTTCAGTAGAACTTTAATGGATTTTATGAGGCCTTCGATCTCCTCTTCAGTGCTAACATGGTGAGGAAGCTCCATATAATCACAAGTCAGACCAGCCTGATGGACCTACATGCAAATTAAACAGATCTAATTTCTGATGATGAATTATTGATGTAGCTTATGTGTGCAGAAAGCCTCTAAAATAACATCCCTAGCCTAGTAGGTAACTTACTCTCCAGGCAGTAAGAGCTGGTTTTTTTCCCCAACTTGTTCTTCAAAGAAAAAGAATAAAATTCAGAGGTTATATCGATTACTTCATTATCTTCAGTACACTGGATTTCTCCTACAAATTCAGAGTACGCTGCAGTCCTTGAAAATGACAGGTCTGGTCTTTTACAAACAGGTAACTTAAGTTCTATAATATATCAACACACTCTGGTAAAATGAAATCATCTTCAGATGAAACAGTCTGAGATGTCACAGTCCTGAGAGATCTCATTATTGTCCTCTAAATATATTAAACAAGAATACTAGAATTTTAGAAGCTTGAAATAGAAAAGCTGGCCTAAGTAGCAAGACATATAAAAAAAGGAAAACTACCAAAAATCCCACAAATTCAATGTAAAAATGAATTTAAAAGCAAGCTTTACATGAAGCATGATGTTTTCCCTCCCTTTTGAAGCTGTACTTTTGAAATGTGTCTACTTTCTGGTCTTTTATTTAGTCACCTACCATTTCATAGTCTGGGCTTTCCATCCTGGTTTTCAAACTGTGAACTAGTTGAACAAGTGGCTTCATTCTGGAGTTAAAACAAAACCAAAAGTTCTTAGAGAAACAGCTGGAAACATATAATTACCTTAAGTGTAAAAGAGAGGGATGGGAAAAAAAAAAAGGAAGAAAGGATTTGGCTTAGGATATGAAAATGAACTTTGCCCCTCTGTCATCTGGCACCTGAGAAAAATGAAAATTATCAGTACTATTGTAATGTTTCACCAGTTTGGGTTTTTTTTTGTTTAGAAAGCCCCTATACCCCTAACTGCCTCTGGCAAGGTCTCTTTGTACCTCTTTTAACGCAGACCTGGAGAGAAGCTGTTGTAACTCAAAGTCACATGAACTTGAGAGAAAATGATTGTGGTCAGTGTAACACAGGTCTGGCAGTAACATCTGCATTTGATGGGGAAAATGTGTGATTTTCCTATGAACAGAAAGCTTGGACGTTTAAAAGCATGCTGGATGCTTCTGAGACATTCTGTGAACGCTGTCACTCAGGTGCAACCTTTCATCCACTTCCATTTTTCCACAGAAAGCAGAACCTTTGTGAACCCCATAGAAGTGTTTCACTGTGTCCTCCGTAGTTTGGTGCTTTTTTGAGAGCTCTGCTTCACACAAATCACTAAATTTTTAGTCACCAAATGTGCCTCCCTCCACAGGCAACACAACTTGCATGAAGCTTTACAAGGCTGATCTTAGAAAGCTTACCATGGCACTGAAGGCAACAGACTGCCTTTTATTTTGTTTGAACTCTCCTCTAAAGGAAAAATGGTAGTCTTGCATAGATCCTATCCAGCCTCTCTCTTTTTCTGTTAGCAAAGTGGTGGGAAAAACTTCAGCTCCCAAAGTATTGTTTAGATTTTAAGACATTCAGAAATCTCTTACCCAGGATATGAAGCCCACTTCTGTATGGTTTCTTCATCATCACTGTCACACAAATCTGCAAATGCTGCTTCCAGATCTTCTAGCTGATGAATACGGTTTTCAACACAATCCAGCAAGCCCTCCTTTACATAAGCACATATAAAGGTATGTTAGGCAAAAAGAGGTAAGAATGTCATGGTTTACCCTATGATTTAAATTCTGAAATTACTCATCTACTGGAAGTAGGGCATCAGAAACAACTGATTCATTACTACAGAACATCTTTTCAAGTGAACAAGAACAAATACCTGAAGAAGCTGTTATAACCTTCAGAATTAAACACTTGTATTGGGTCTGTCTTTCCCACAAAAATAAATAAATAAAACACCCCAATAAAAGCCACAGCTAAATTCTGGCAGAATACAACAGCTAAGAAACTGTATATAAGTAATTACTGGATTTGTTTCTATAGCACTTAAATGCTCAGATGAGTACAACCTTTACATTTTTCTAACGAAAGGAGAATTCAATTTTTTAAGTAAAAAAAAAAAAGAGAGTATTACTAAATCAAATGCATTTTCAGGGGAAAAAAAAAGGAAAACACAACATAACAAATTATCTGATGCTCTGAGGTTGTATCAACTCTGTGTGCCTGAAAATACATGGAATTATATTAATGTCAGTTATTGCTCTGATCCTGCAAAGGTTTATGCCCTTTCTTAAAAAGTTCAGAACACATAAAGAGACAGTTTTCTTGAAGTGAAGCTACATACATGAATACAGTTGTATATGCAAACATTTGCAGAAAAAGATCCTATATAAAATCGAACAAAAAACAATGTTTAGCATATTTGGTATAAAAAAAGCATCAGGGTGTAAGAATTATTAAAGAGGACACTGGAATAGAACATAACAATTCCCTCTTCAGTCTGCTGGCTACATCATATAACAGATGCTGCTTCTTTTGGTTAGTGATGTCAACTTTGGGCTAATCTTAAGGAAGAGTTGAAGGCATTGACCATTCATGAACTACAGATTTATGATCCTATTCTGGGGTATCAATAAGATAATTTTCTATACATCACCAGTAACTAACCTTACAGACATGTCTGATCCCTCCCTATACTACATAAAACCCAAAACCAACCAACCGACCAAAACCAAACAATATATTATTATCTTATGACAGAAATGTACATTCAACTACAAAACCAGATATCTAGGATATTTTCTGAACCTTTGAAAAACACAAAACTCACACACTTTCTACCTTCAAACCCTTTAACTATCTCACTATAAACCCATCCATGAATCTAGTCTTAAGTTGCTCAGTTCTATACCTATCCACTACTCACTGCTAACCATTTTAGTTGTCTCCTATGAATTTGTTGGTTTTTGTAAGTAACTTATGTCCTGAAATCATACTCAGCACTTAAATCACAAATGTTTATCCTTTTTATGTTTAAGTACCTTTTAAATAGGTTTTATTGCTGATTGACTATGAAATATGAAAATCAATTTGACAATCTTCCATATATCTCAATTTCTTTATACACACATTAATTAAGTTTCATTTATCTGTGATAATTATGTGTGTTGAATCTCCCTGTAATAATGTTAGGATGAGATTATGAAAGCAAAGACAAGATCTTGTTTAGAAACTACTCGGTGTAGTGACTATTAATATGGCTGTCTCCATGTTCTGAATTCAGGGCTAAACAACTATTTTGGCAGCTACAGCAGACTTACATTTCCATGATTCAGAAGCACACAACACATAAAAGGAATAATACATTACAGAGTGCAACACCTTCCTTTCCACATATAAATAAATATGTTTGAAAATAAAACAAAACAAAACAAACAAACAAACACACAAAAAGCCCCAAACCAACCAACCAACCAAAACCAACCAAAAACCAAAACGGCCAGTCTGGATGGGGCTTTGAGCAACATGGGCTAATGAAAGATGTCCTGCCCATGGCAGAAGGGCTGGAACTAGATTCCATGATTCTGTGAAACCATGCTATGATTCTATAAAAACACTAGTTAGACATTGTTAGACACTGAGCACAGATCTGAATATCAAGGAACAGCAACTAGGGCAGGGAAGGGGAAAGCTGGGTGGAGGAACAAACAGGAAAAAACAAACCACCAAAACCAAACCAAAGCCCCACCAAAGCAATGCTCTATTGAGACATAAAAAGAACAAGACTGCAGATGACTTACTATGTTTTAATTTCGTCCTTCTCAATTACCACTTGTTTATGAAAATTAATTTTCACACTCATGCTAAATATTTATGCAATTCACATGTTTAACCAAAATGTTTAGTAAGAAAGAATTCCTAATTTGCTGCTGATTAGCATTCAGCCTGCTGCGTAGCTTAATTCAAGGCCACTTCATTAAGCACCTTTCACAGGTTCCTTCCTTCTTGTAACTCATTATTATTGGGTAAGTAAAAAGAATCATACCCTCAAACATCCAACAAGGAAATACCATACCTCTGTCGCATTTCTATGAGGCTTCTTGAAAATGTACAACTCTTGCAAAAGCTCATATTCTCTCTTCAAAAAAGAAAAAAAAAAAAAGCAAAAAATTAGACTCTTCAAATGAGAACCAAAACCTTAAAAGCTTTCCTTCTTCAAAAAAAATAATTTGACCACCAAGATCATACCTCTACTCTGGTACTGCAGACAGCGCTCTATAAATGCAGGAGAGGAAGGGGTGGTAAGGCTTGAGAAAACAATACTTCATGGCCTCAGCTAAACATTTTGCAATTGTTTAACTTCAAACCTGACTTCAAAACCGCAACTTTAAAAGCTAAGAATTTACAATCTGTTAGTTTTAAAATCTCTGAAATTAATCATACATGCTGCTGAACTAAGGTCCCAATGAGATGCTGAGTAAAACTGAAATGGCAGATTTAGGCAGACAAAACCAACATGATCATAAAGGAAAACAGGACAGGTAAAGGCTTCAGGGTAGCTGGACAACAAGTTCACAACTAAACTATTACAGGGGGTTGTCAGCCCTACTCCTTGATCATATTCAAGTTTAATAATCAAGGATAAACAGGTCTTGTTATTTAACAGCATTAGAAAGGTGAACACTATTTTTCAGAGCAGAGGTAGAAAGGAAGGGTAGACTATTCAACATTTACAGAAATACAAAGCATCTTTAGGACAACATTTTGGATTTTAGTCTTCTTTTGGTGCGGAACACAATACTTTTCTGGAATGGTGAACTGTATTTGGTTTTTAGCTTTTCCTTGGATTCTCACATTTCAAGTGTTAACTTGGGAATTTTTTTGAGAATGGAATTATTGCAACTTAGAATAGGAGGAACATAGTTAAGAAATACGAACTACAAATGAAATCATTATATAAAAAGATACACAGGGCGCTCTGTGCAAGTCCACTTCCAAAAGTGGCTCCTAGGACTGAGAAACTATCATAATACAAAACAAACAAAAATGCACAAGAAACAAAACATCCACCCCCCTAAAAGAACAACGAACCAAACCACTCACCCCCTTAAAAAAAACCCAAACCAAACCCTCCTCCCAAAATTTCCCCGTTATTTTATTCAGAATGTATTTCAAGCCCTAAGAGGGGTACTGTCTTATATGGCAAGACCCTCATGGTGCTTTCCCTGTACACTTCTCTATGTGATTCAGAACAACTGGCACTACACAATGTTTGAAGATACTGTAGTCATAAAGACTTAATGTCAGAAGCTAACAGAAGTCAAGGGAAACTGTATTTTCTTTTTTCTGGTGAACATGGAAGCAGTAGCCTAGCTGAAATTCAAAGATGCTGTATGTTCTTTAGCATAGGCTGAAGTTAAAACAATGTTAAAAACTAGATTTAAATGATAAAACCATTAAGGATATTGCAGAAGAATTTGTAAACCTAAATGCCACACCCAACTTTCAGGGCAGATTAGTTAGTTCCTAAAAATCCTGTGCACGTCAAGAAAACTTCAACAGAGGAAGGTCAGGTTAGATATAAGGAAGAATTTCTTTACTGTGAGGATGATGAGGCACTAGAACAGGCTGCTCAAGGAAGTTCTGAATGTTCCATCCCTGGCAGTGTTCAAGGCCAGGCTGGATGGGGCTTTGAGTGACCTGGTCTAGTAGAAGGTGTCCCTGACCATGGCAGGGGGTTCGGAACTGGATGATCTTAAGATCCTTTCCAACCCGAACCACTCTATGATTCTATAAAACCTACTAACTGCTTTGCTCCTTTGAGGATCTATATATTTATGACTCTATACAGATGACCTACCTTTGCTGAGCAGCCAAGTTATAAATGAAAGAAGGCAGAGTCTTAAGATTTAAGTGATGGCATCAGAGACAACAGCTGCTTGCTCATCCTTATAGTCAGCACTTCAGATAAAGGAAATGAGCATTAACAGCTTCTCATCAGGACAGGCTATTACTCTTTGGATAATCAACACCACCATTCCTTTTGAAACACAGAAGAGCACCAATAGCATGCTGTAGGAGGTAAAAAAAATCATATAATCTGTCATCGCTCTCTGATAAACCTTGCGGGTATTTGGAACATTACCTCTGGAAACCCAAGCATAATTTATGTCCCAAGCAACAAGCAGAAGTGAGCCATATACCTCTGAGCTTGAATATGCACTTGATACCGATTTCAAATGTAAGGATCTACCCCTATTAGGCTGTTGTAATTCTTGCAGCGTACACTCCCTTAGAATGTCTCTCCTTCAAATATTACCATGAATCACAGAATTATGATTAGCTGATCTGCTAATTTAGCTTAGAAGAAAATTTCCCCATAGACACAAATGCTAGGACTGGTACTCTTTTGTGAATGGTGAGGCCTCCCCATTGTCATGCTTACCTGTGTGTATGTTTCTTTGAATGGATTTTTAACTGAAAAAAAATCTAAGTCAATGTCTAAAACATATGCATCCCCTTTCTTCAATACTTGGCAAACATCTTCAACAACATTTCTTATTGGGCATTCACTGTTTCTTAGAGAGCTTGAAGCTGAGCACTCTAAGGTTTCTGTCCTGTTCAGGGCACCTGTATTTTGCACTTCCTTTTTCTTCACATTTGTTGTGCTGTAATCAAGGTTAGGAGCCACTGATGAAGAGGCAGAAGCAGTGCTTGCTGTGTCATCTGTATTTAGCTTCAGTCTCTTAGCAGATGCTACTTCACCATTTTCTTCCCAGTTGTTTGATGCTTCAGTAGGATTGATGAGAATGACGTGTAAATTCAAAGGTTTCTGGTTTTCCAGCTGATCAGCAGGGACATAAAGACCATCACTTAAAAAGTAATTATCTGTACCTGTTACCCTGCAATTGACAAAACCTCACAGTTAATATACATCTTTGCAAAGAAGTGGGAAAAAAGTATGTACACTTTAGGGCTACTGAGAAGGACAAATAGGTGTTTGATGGGTAAGGAAAGCAATAAAACTGTGTACACAAATTATTTATTTTAGTCTGCAGGTTTTTAAGTTGAAGCTTTTTCTACTTCTACTTCTTTATTGCTGAATAAATATATTTAAATATCACTCTATATTTTTAATGATAGCCCTGCAAGGTTTTAATGAATAGAGAAAAGATTCTACATTATGTGCTGCTAAGATTAATTTGCTATTGAATTGCATTTTAAAGACACAATCCAGACTTTAACACGATACTGTCAATATAAAGCATGTAACATTTCAAAGCTATGATATTTTGTGCTGGACTGTGTTGGTCCTAATTTTTAAGGAAAATTCTGTTAGTTGTGTTTGAGAAGTACCCTGAAAGCCGCTGATAGTGAGTTAGTAAAATATTATGAATTTTAATAGGTAGCACTTAACGTTTTTTTACCACCAATACAGATTCCATATTCTAAGTGGGGGAAGCTGGTAACTTGAGGGTGAATAGATACGTAACAATGGAATCCACTTAATTAAAAAAAGAAAACAATCAGCCAAACAAATAAAAGCAGCAATGTTAAAAATGTCTGCTTACAGTGAAAAATGAAAGAACCTACAGTTTCAAGTCACATTTCAGTGCATTAAGCTTCAAGCATCATAAATTCAGTTTTAAAAATAAGCTTAAGAAGAAGCGTGAACTTCCGCTCACTTGTGTTAAGGCCTCATATGATTACTAGGTATCACCATCAATAAACAAAGACAAATAATCTCTTAAGCAGCAGAAATTTGAAGCTTAGTTCCCCAGTGTCTCATGGCTGGATTAGCCTGAGCTTGCTAAAATGAGAATATCTATTGCCTATCCAGCCACTTGTTGCCAACAAAACTTTTAGGAAGTCAGTATTTTCTGAGGACTCTATCTTTCTTCCTTCATGATTTTAGTAAGCCTAGGAACTAAAGAAGAGGTACCTGACCATCTTCAAAAGGCACCTTAAAATATTGTTTTCAAGACTGCTATGGTGACCACAGGATCTGTGGGAGATCTGTGCAGCCATCATGAAGTACTTCTGCATGTGTGCTAGTTCTCCTGGTTAAATGTAACTGAAAGCACCATTGTTGTCTTACTATTTATGTTTATTCTAGATCTCAGATTCAGAATTGTAGAGCTTTAGTGTTTTATTTAATGTGGTAAACCAAAGCATTTTTCTTCTTTCGTATGTTAAACTTGCTTCAAAAGATTTATTCCAATACGCTGCCAAAACACACTATTTGTACATGCCCATTCAAGCTGTACAAAATCATAATTCAGTGAATATGGCAAATGCGAAATTGCCATGGACTGCATGAATCCCACAGGTCTCTGATCGGCACTTGAATCACAGATTGACTAAGACCGGAAGAGACATCTGGAAGTCTCTAGTCAATCATCCGATCAAAGCAGAACTAACTTCAAAGCTACATGAGGCTACCCAGGGCCTAGTCCAGGGGAGCTTTGACTTTATCAAAGACTGGGGAATTCACCACCTGCCTATGTACATGATTCAGTGCTTAACTTCAAAACAAAAAAAAATCCAGAAAACAAACAAAAAACCCCAAGCCCACACCAGAAAAACAGAATCATGGATGATACCAAACAAAAATTTTGCTAGCAAGATGAAAGACTAAACAGACAGAAGCTGAACTGCTTTTTCCCGTCCCAACCCCCTAAAAAAAAAAAAAAAAGAAAAAAGAAAAAGAAAAAGGGGAAAACTTTATATGCATTACATGCCCAGATGCCCCGTTTTGTCACAATGAAGATGACAAACTTTGTCCTGACTGGTACATTTAGGTTCTATTTAGAAAATGAAATAAAAGCTGTCTTTCATCTTCTGTCCACTGTCTTGCTATAATTCTACTTAACACAAATCTCTGAACTTCAAGGGTCAGCCAGTCCTAGTGCATTTAACCATGTAAGCACACCCTGAATGGAAACTTATCAAAGGAACTAGATGAATATAGCTGGATATGAGTACAGAATCAAAGCAGACCAAGTGATTTTTTTCCCCATGTAACCCAAATGTGACTCCTCTGCCTATTTTGATCCTGAACAGTAAAAACCAGTTTGTCTTAGAACAGTTTTCTTAAGTATGTTACTATGTTATGCAACTGCGTAAAAAGTAATTATGAATTTTGTAACATTTGCTAAATATCAGTATCCTCTTGTTATTTCAGGCCAGTTTTATCAAAGTGATCTCATTTACTTAATTATATCTTATTTTTATACTGCACTGTGAGTTAGGTTAGAATTTGGCATTCTGTGACTTATTGGTAAAGAAAGAAGGACATCCCATCAATAATTCTATTTTAACTGGTGGAGAAAATAATGGATGCACTGAAAAATTACAGCCTACAGGCATCTTATTAAGTTAAAATAATATACATACAAGGTCCTGCATCTGGGAAGGAATAACATGCGGCAGTACAGGGTTGGCACAGACAAGTGAAAACCTGAAGAACAGGAACTGGTAATCCCAGCAAAAAGCAACTTGAGCGTGTGTGGCAGTACACCCCTGCAGTGATGAAGGCTAATCACAAAATTTCATTGTATAAGCAAAGGTCAAGGGAAGAGATTTCTCCTCTTATTCAGCATCGGTGAGGTCACATTTGAAATAATCTGTCCAGGTTTGGATCCTCAGGACAAGAGAGACATCAATAAGCTGAAAATCTAACAAAGGGCTGCTAAGGTGATTAGAAGGCTGGAACACATGATGAAAAAGGGGAAACTGAGGGAACTGAGCTTGTTTCGTCCAGATAAAGGAAGGCTGAGGAAGATCTAATTGCTGCCCTCTGTTACCCAAATTCTCACTTAAAAATGACTGCTTTCTGAGAATATTTACTTTAATGAGACCTAATTTAAACCCTGGGTAGATGGAATGAAATGTGAATAGCTAGAGTTACCTATTAAAAAAAAAAAAAAAAAAAAGGCACATCTTCACTGTGCCCACTCACACAAACAGTCACATTAGGACCTAAGGAGATCACAAATACAAATGAAATTTTTATCTTTATCCAAGAATATATAAAAAAACCCTGCCCATGAAAAGCTATAGAAATAGCTTTTACATTGTTAGTATAAATCAGCAGAAAATTTACCTGATTGTAGTTGTTGATATGTCTTTCCCAATTAAAAAATTGTGTTTTCCTTCTGAGATCTGCTGAGCCCAGGGTGGGTGAAGCCAAACTACCTGAGAAATATGGCCAGCATAAACAGCAGGCATAATCCAGTTCTCAATACTTAATTCACTGTAATGAATGCAGAAAAACAGGAAACAACAGTGTTACTTTCCCTGTAAAACATGGTCAAGAACACCACAAACATCTTCAACATCTTGAAAGCACCCATGCAAATTATCTGAAATTAGACCCCTGTGTAAGGATCACATCATCAAAAAAAGAAAAAGGAGATCTTTATTCATAAAACAGACCAACAATGTCTATAGCAGATTTTTAAAGGTTAGGATTATACAGTGCAATCAGCTTCACTCTTAGCATGGCACTTTGATCATAAACTACATATCTTTGTTGTCTTTTTTCTCGTGATCCATCAGACAGAGGAAAGCGCAAGGAGCATTACCAGTGCTATAATTAGTGACTTCAAACTGACCTCATAGGAGTATTTTATTGTACACTGATCTAAGTAGATTTAAATATAATCTCAGTAATTAAAAACAGTCAATAAGTGTCCACATATTAGAATCTTTTCTCATTATCAAGACCCTTTTTTTCTTCAGGCGTACAACATAGCCCACAAAACTTTTTATTTATCCAACAAAGAGAACAAAATCTTGACTATGGGTAGGATGACATAGGTACTTACAAGCATCACCTTGTCATTGCTGTAAATTACTTTAACACGGAAGCAAACGTTTATTTTAAAACAGGAAGAGAAACACAATAGCAGGGATCACTCTGTGGCTTTTTACCTACCTACCTAAGAAGTCAGGGAGAAATACTGATCTTAATGATCTTAGCAGGAAAATCTTGTTCAGTCATACTCACCATGTCAACATAGGATATATTATTTTACTTTCAAAGTCAATTTTTCAGTGTGAAGAGAGAAAGGCTATTTTAAAATTACAGCTCTACAGCCAAAGCATATACTGAGTGATCTTATGCTACCCAGAGGAACAACTTGGGCTAATAACATGATATACTACTGAACGACTGAAAAAAAGGAAATTCATACACCTTAAATTGCTTGATATTCAACATAACCATTTGATTGCCTTCATAAAACACAACTTTTTCCAACTGAAAAAAGTTTTAGGCATAAGTGAAAAGGAAAAAGATACAACTTGAACCTGACTTATGCCTCTTTGGTTCATATTTCCTATGCAGTCATACCAATATTCAGTGCAAATTAAATGCAGCAAGAAGTAGTCTTAGAAGAACTCTGATGCAGTATCTGAGACTTACCTAAAAAGAGCTTCTTTGTCATATACAGTGTCTGCAGGCATATTCACAGGAATAAGAAGGTCTGGATGGGAATCAAGATGAACAAAGGTGATGTTACTGCCAGGGAGATGCTTTGAACCAATGGCACGATAGATGAAAGGCAGCACCTGAAACACCACAAATAAAAACACTTCAATTATAACCAGTAGGCTGAAAAATGTGACAGCTTTGACAGCAAAAACACCAGTCCCACTCTTATTTCTTTAGAATTTAGATTAGAGGGAGGAGGAGACAGAAGGCAATGCAAAGGGGAAACAACTCCAGTGGCAAGACAACTCATGAACTGTAATCATTATGAGCCCAAGTGTTTCACACAAGAAGCTGCTGAAGAATCAGCACTTTACTCCCTCTTTCCTTCTTTATAGGAAGTCTTGTTTGCAGTAGCTCCTCTCACTAATCAACTCAATTCCTAGTTGTGAGTTGTTTTTTTTTCATTTACAACTGAACCCCAGGAATTCCTTTCCTCCTCTAAAGGACATTGCTCTTGCATTGCCTTATCCATGCTATCAAGCTTCCTCACCATGTGGAGAGGAGATACATTTCATTACTTGCGTTCTATAAATTAACTGATATAGGAGTGAAAACTGTCCCCACCATGATTTAAACTTCAGCTGATCTTTAAAACTATCCCCCTTGCAGAAAGGGCTTAATTCCTAATCCCTACATGACTTAGTGGCTGCAATAAAGAGGCTACTTTTCTCAAATGTCCAACATCATTCCCTGCTGAAGGTCTTCACTCAAAGGTGAAAACCCAGGAGACAACTCATCAATCGATAGTATAGCGAACCACTGAAGTTAAATAATGTAGGGTAGTAAAAATGTGAAAACTGATGGCTGATTCCTGATTTCTCTTAGACTGGACTGCAGTACATGAAGTGTCTTCCACAGCAACAGGATAGTAACTGCCTTAGCTGCCAGAGCAAATCCAGCCAAGGATTGTGCATTACAGCCCTGTTACACAGGGAATGTGAAGGCTGTAAAGGTACTAGGCAACAAAACTTACACATGATCTTTACATTACAACAGAAATGGAGCTATGTTGGGTTTTTTTTGGCAGAAAACTGATTAAAATGACAAATCCTGCATACTGCATGGACATACTTTTAAACATGAGTGCCAGCTGAAATGTGACTGTATTCTATCTGTCTAGGAATAAGTTCCACCTTCTACCCAGTACATGTGCAATAATATGTATTACTGCTGTATAATAATATGCATAACTGCTGCAATAGGAGCTAACACAAGATAAAAAATAACAAGTGTTCCCTCATCCATGACTTTCACTTCTTCAGAAAAAGGAAGTAATCTGAACAATTTACAACCTTTGCAATTAAAAGTAGTTTCATCTCAGGTAACATCACAGATTGTGAGACCTTGCTACTGCCTGATTTCCGGTACTTGTAGAGAACAAGGTCTTTTGAGTTTCCTTTTCTCCAGGCTGAACAACCCCAGTTCTCTTAGCCACTCCTCATGAGACTTGTTCTCCAGACCCTGCATCAGCTTCATTGCCTTTCTTTGCACATGCTCCAGCAACTCAATGTCTTTCTTGTAGTGAGGGGCCCAAAACTGAACACAGTATTCAAGGTATAGCCTCACCAGTGCCAATATCCTGGTTTTGTCTGGAATGGAGTTAATCTTCTTCCAAGTCACTAGTACAGTGCTATGTTTCAGATTTCTGATGAGAATAATGTTGATAACACATTGATGTTTTAGTTGTTGCTAAGCAGTGTTTACACTAAGTCAAGGACGTTTCTGTTTCTCACATGAAGTGAGAAGGCTGGGGGTGCACAAGAAGTTGGGAAGGGACACAGCTGGGACATCTGACCCCAGTTGACCAAAGGGATACCCCATATCATATGATGTCATGCTCTATATATAAACTAGGGGAATATCTGGCCAGGGGCCACTGCTCAGGAACTGGCTAAGCATCAGTTGGCAGATAGTGAGCAACTGCATTGTTCATTGCTTGTTCTATATATTATAATTCTCCTATCATTATTATTTGCCCTTAGTTTCTGTCCTATTAATCTGTCTTAATTTCAACCCACAAATTTTACATTGTTTTCCCCGTTCTCTCATTCCACTGTGGGCGGGAGTAAGTGAACAGCTGTGAGGCTTTTAGCTGCCTGCCAGGTTAAATCATGACAGTCCTTTTTGGTGCCCAATGTGTGATATGATGCATTGAGATACTGACACATCTGACCAGAGCTTGTAAAAAAAAAATTGTTATAAGCATTCATTATATTAGTTTTAATGGTCACTGGTCACAATGTCAATTTATTTTCTCCCAAGAGTTGCTGTGAATGTTCTCAGATTTGTGTTCTGTAACACTTTAATTGCTGCGTATGTTCCACCTTGTGTGCTGTTTTATCACTTCTGGGGGCTGTGGCAAGGTTATAATTTGGTTGCACTTTGTAACACTGGTTTATGATACTATTAAATTGCTGGTCCTGAAACTGATCTGGTATTTGTACTCAGCATTGCCACAATCGTACTTCGGGAGCCATCTATTGGATACTATCAATAATTACACCTTCCACCTTTTCTCAGAGAGTCAATCTGAGGGGGGGGGAGATATCTTCCCCAATCTTCTCCTTCTCCTTCAGGCTAATTACAATCGCTCCTGAAAATTTTTAATATCCTCAGGATATTCAAACCAGCATGTTCCTATTGCTATGTCTCCTAAATGTGTTTCAGGTCCTGTTTACAGTTAAACAGCTATCTAAGAATACCACCCAGGGATCTGCCCAGAGACTGGACAGTTATGAGTGGTAGGGTGTGTGGGATAGTATGAGCAAGTACCTAGGACAGTGGGCACCTCTAGTGTTTTGAAATTTCACCCCTGAACAAGTGCAGAATCTGGAAAAAACAGTAAAACGTTTGGAAAAAAAAGTATGCTGCTACCCTAGGAATTCCAGAGACAAAAATCACTGCTACATGCTGGGGCCTGTCCCATGCCTACAAAGCCGTGCTCAACACTCTTCAGTACCCTCAAGGAGAATAGACGGTCTCTGGATCTGACAACAAAAGGACAGGCACTGCAGCTACTCCAAACCCCAAGACAGACACAGCAGCTGAACCAAAGAACCAACCTCTGCCAGTACCATTTGCTCCTATACACAAGAAGAAATACTGGAAGAAGTCAGCCCATGTGGTAAAGGATGAAGGACCTTCTTCTAAGAGGGAGCAGGAGGAAGTGGACAAGGTAGACTTCCCTGAAGTAGGACCTTCACAAAAATAGGAAGAAAAGATAGCCACTGTGTGGGGAGGAGTAAGGGTTATAAGTCATAAATGAATGGTAACCACCTGCCTGGGTTTAGCAGTAGCAGTCATTTTTCTCTTTCTTGGTAGCTGGTGCAGAGCTGTGTTTTGACTTTCGGGCTGGGAACAGAGCTGATAACAATGATGTTTTGGTTTGGCCAAGGACTTTGTGAGCTTCATGCTCTGCCACGGAGGAGGGGAAGCCGGGAGGAAGCAGAGATAGGACACCTGACCCAAACTGACCAAAGAGGTATTCCATACCACAGCACGTCATGCCCAGGAGGTAACTCGAAGTGACCTGGAAGGACAGGGGGTCTTCTGGGTCGGACTTGTTTTTCAGCAGGTGGTATCGTATTCTTTTCCCTTGTTATTTTCTCTTATCGTTGTCGTTGGTGGTAGCGGTGGTGATTTGTATTGTACATTGGTTGCTGGACTGTTCTTATCTCAACCCATGGGAGTTGCATTCTTTCAATTCTCCTTCCCATCCCTCTGGGAGCGGGGAAGGGGGGGAGCCCCCGGGGGGGCGACACGGGCCTCGACTGCTTCCAGCCCGGCACCACTCACTGGGAGTGAGTGTACAAGCTGTCTGGCTGGGTTTAAACCACGACACCACCTGATCTCTATTCCTGAGTGAGCTGCAAGATATGCAAAAAGATTTCAACCACTGTCCAGGCAAGCACATTGTCACCTGGCTTCTCCAGTGTTAGAATGACAGGACCAGGAGCCTGGAATTAAAGGGCATGGAAGCCAAATAGGTGGTGGGATCCCCTTCTACAGAATACTGGACTGGAGAGCAAAGGAGTGATCAGCATGATTTTCTTTAATAAGCTTTTTTACACTGAAATTTTCTGTTTGTAAAGAATCTAGTTTAGAATCTGCTGATTTAGGACTAAGACCTCAGCTTATGCCTATAAACAAACCATATGGGGAAACTGAAACAGCAGTTCAAAAGCAATTCCTTCTTTACTCCCCTCTTCAATGACTTAATTAAAAAAGTTTCAAATTTAAAATTTCTCACCAAGTAGCAATCAATCTGTTAGGATATGATTGTATTTACTAATTTGCTGTCAACATGTCACACACTGAAGAGCTGAGCTAGTGCCCAGCTAATTTTAAGAGCAGTGTAATACGGGCATTATTTCCTTCTAACTGCAGCAATCACAACCCAAAGAATAATGATTAAAAACATAAAAAGTAAGCAATAATCCCTTAAAAATATGCCAAAATCCCTTCACAGGATTAATTAGCTGAACCGGGAAGGAACTCAGGTCAGGTGGGCACTGAACTTCTTTTATGTTTCAGCAGTGACAGCGAACGCAGGTTTAAGGTCTGTGCACGGCTGTGGAGGCGGGGACTATTCTTGTTCCCAGAAAGTCCGAAGCCAAGAAAACTTGGCTACATGGCAGGAAGAGGCTGCCGTCAGAGTTCAGTGGAGCAATCCACCGGACACCTCCCTCCGCTTGCACCTACCAGACTAAGCGTCCACGCCGCACAGAAAGAAAGACAAGAAGTTACTCCCCACACAGTCCCCGACAGACGCCTCGTTCCTCCGCCCAGTCCCACCGCCCAGCGCCAGGCACTCACGTCCTGGTGGTCCTCCACCACCCACACGGGCAGAGCCGGGTAAGCCCGGAGGCGGCCCCCTTGGGGCCCGGTCCCGCTGCCAGCCATCGGGCCCCCGCCGTTCATGCCGCGGCTGTGACGGGCCGGATCCGGCGAGACCCAGCTTTCATTCCCCACTCTCACTCTCCTTCCTTCTCTCCTTCCCGGAGGGTGGTACTTCCGCCTGCAGAGCCCTCCCACGACCTTCCTGTTCCGGAAGCCAGGGCGCTGCAGGCCCGGTGGCCTCGGTGGCGGGGCGCCAGGTGGGCTCGGCGTGCCTGGCTACCTGCGGGAGGGGGGGCCGCGGGGCTGGTGGGGGTTTCCCTTGGGCCGCTGCGCTCCGCTTTCCCCGTGGTGTTGCGGTTCTCCACGCGGCGCGGGGGAACTTGTGCTAGCGCGGGGGGAAAGGTTCCGAGGGGGGAGGGGGCGTGGCGGTGTTGATGCTGGCGGGCTGCGAGGTGTTGATAAGGTTCAGGGTGGCGGGGCCCAAGCGGTTCCTGCCCGCTGCGCAGTGCGCGGCGGCTGCCTGGCTGGCCTGCGGGTGAGGAGCCTTCTCCGTGTGGAGAATGGAGCCGTGCGGCGGGAAAGCAGAGGCCGGGCGGGTGCCGGAGTCATCGCCTGGTTCGTTTCCGCTCTGTTTACCTAGATCCTTCGGTGGCCGTTGGAGGCCGTTATAGAGTGCTGGGAGGCAGTGGTTGGATGAGGCCTTTTATAAGGAACCTGTGTTACTTTTGTGTGCGGTGGCTTCCACCAATATAATACATTTCTTCCCTATGTTTGTCCTTTACAATGTTTTTGAACTTCCTTAAATTTAAATGAAAATCAGATGTGACCAAAGTTTGCAGCGGAGGGAGCTTTAAAATAATTGAGGTGTTTACAGTTATTCCATGTAGCTTGTTTTTTATTATTATTTTTTTTTTTATTAGGATTAGTAATAACAGTTGCCAGCCAAAATAATGGAAATAGATTCCCCTCTACCCCTTGTTTCTTTTTGAGAGCCTTTGCAAGGTTGGTAGGTACAGAGAAGGCACAGACTGACTGGAAGGAGCAAGTGGCTTTTTACCATTGTGGCTGCTACCTCCTAAAAACTTGGGATTCTCACTTAGTTCGGCCTTTGGTTGTTCTGGAGAGGGAATCGATGTCAGTGCCACCAATTCCAGTGGCTTCCACTGGGCCATGTGTGTCTGAGAGACATAGGCCCTCTTGATTCCTGCTTCTTGATGTCAGTCCTTTTGCCCCTTCATCGCTTTTCCTTTCTTCCTCTGGTTCCAGAAGTTGTCTGCTCTCTGTTAGTAAGCTCCATCTTTTGCAAGTGGCACAAAAATACAGTTGAAAGTAGAGCTCTGAGCAGTCTGGTTGAGCTGTGTTGCATGGTAGCAGGCAGGAGAATAATCTGCGCACTTTAGCATCAACAAAGCCTCAGTAAAAGTGAGACTTTGTTTTCTTTATCTGGTGATCTTTCCAGTTATGTGTGTCTGTCTCCTTCTCTTCCCCTTAAAAACAGGATTTGACTTCTGTGACTACTTAACTTTTTTTTTTTCCTCTTCCTCCATTCCAGCCAAGACACCATGAATGATTTCTTAATTTTTATATTTTCCTTTTTCCAGTTGTTGAAACTTAACATTGTAATTAAAGAATCAACTTTTAACTTTAATGAAGCACAGTGGTTTTCATTTATCAACATTAATACAATGCAATAAATATGTGTATAGTTTTGAGCAAGACTTAAGCCTACTTGAAGCAGTGGCAGTTGCTGGAAAGCTAACAGGACCAGGCAGGCAGCTGAGGGATTTTTTCGGAACTATTTATTTCAGTGGAATTGAAGTAGCAGCACAGTCAACATAATTTTTATTTCTGTAACCTCTAAGATTATCATTCCACAAAAATATACCTACCTGAAATATCTGTAGAATTCATTCCTTTGCTAAGTTGGATCTCAATTGTGAATGTAGATTGCTATTATCCCATTTAAAATTTACAAGATTTGTTGGACCAGGTAACTTGCAATGAGGTGTTAGTAAAGTCATTCTGTCTGAAGCGTAGAATCTGTTCTAGAAAGGACTCCTCATTTCAGGGCTTTGGGTGACAATAGCATTTGTTGAAATGGTGGTTTCTTTGGTGTGGGGTGCCTGAAGGCTTTATATCAAAAGTGTCTAGTTTTGCCCTGAGACAGCATGCTCCAGCTGGGGTTCTGGATTAAAGACAGTGGGGTGCTTTCATGGGTTACAGGCTTAAAGGAATCAAAGGGACATGTATGACCTTTACTAGAGGTGTGAGTAGCACAAAGCTCCCAGGTTAAATCAGTGGACGTTGTTCACTGCTTCTGTTAAAGGAAGCTGCAGGAGCTGTCATTTCAGCACGCTGGGAGTAGTTCTTGCAAATGCATTAAGGACATTCTACAAAAATTGTGTGACACTGGGCTTCTATTTTCCTCATTAAAGGTGAGCCATGTCTTTCCATTCCGGGCGAGGATGTCCCCGTAGTCAGGGGGGACCAGGAGCAAGAGCTTCAACACAGACCTACCGCCCTCAGAACCTACGGCAGCTTCACCCACAGCAGCCCTCCGTACAGTACCAGTATGACCAGCAAACTGCCCCTCCAACAACCTATTCAAACCCTCCAACCACTGGTTACATGCCTCCCAGGCCAGACTTTGTGCCCTATCCTCCTCCAGTGCCCCCTTCCACACAAAATCCCATCAGCCAGTGTCCCATGAGGCCACCGTTTCCAAACCACCAGATGAGGCAGAGCTTCCCGGTGCCTCCGTGCTTCCCTCCTGCTCCTCCACCAGTGCCAAATCCTAGCAATACTTCTGTGTCAGGAACTCCTGCTGGGCAAAACACCTTTCCTTACATGATGCCTCCACCCACAGTACCGCATCCTCCCCCTCCACCAGTCATACCACAGCAAGTAAACTACCAGCCTGTATACTCCACAGCGTATTCACAGCAGTCATTCCCACCACCAAATTTCAACAGCTACCAGCACAACTCTGGCTCCTTTCAGAACAGCACTGCCAGCAACAGTGGTGGCAGTGCTCATTTTCGGCACACGGGTCAGTACCAGGGAGAGAAGTCACAAAGTGATCGACGGTCTCCAGACAGGAGCAAGCACTACGATGAGCACAGACATCGTGAGCACAGTCACATGCATGGTGACAGGCATCGGTCCACTAACCATGGGGATCGTCGGGATCGCGGACGGAGTCCAGATAGGAGGAGGCAGGAAAGCAGTCGGCACCGAACAGATTATGACAGAGGAAGGATATCGCCTCATCACAGAAGTTACGAGCGTAACAGGTAACTTGGGGTATCTTCTGCTTGCAGAGAGGGAGCTGTCATCATTGTCCCATAGTACTATGGCATCAATGCAATGTTCTTCTGTCACCCTTGTTTTCCCCTCTAGCTGGGGAGGTTGCCAATACTCGGATGTTATGGAAAGAGCTACTGTTTTGATGCCTTTTAGGTATGCTGCTTCTGCCTCACCTTTTGTGAGACTGTTGCCCTTTTTTTTTTGTGTCTAATGATGTAGGCCAGAATATTCAAAAAGATACTGGAAAGGTAAGTATTTAAATACTTACCAGGGCACCTGAGTCACGTGCTTTTATTAGGAAACTGAGCTTTCTCATGTCATGTATGAAACACTGATTCACACACAGTGTATGTGGAAATGAAGCCACTTTGATTTAGATATGCAAAGATTTAGTTGCAGAACCTCACACAGCTGTATTTCAAAAACAAGCAAACAAACCCCTCCAAACAAACAAAAACAAAACCCCAGACCTCACATTCAGTAATTTTTACTTTGATTTCCAAAAGATATTTGTAGAGAGCAATAAGGTTTCCCCTGAGCCTTCTTTTCTCCAGGCTGAACAACCCATTCCCTCAGCAGTTCCTCATAGACGTGTTCTCCACACCCTTTGCTAGCTTTGTTGCCATTCTCTGAGCCCACTCCAGCACCTCACTGTCTTTCTTATAGTGACAGGCCCAAAACTGAACACAGTATTCAAGGTGTGGCCTCACAAGTGCTGATGTCCTGGTTTTGGCTGGGGTAGAGTTGATTATCTTTCTAGTAACTGGCATAGTGCTGTGTTTTGGATTTAAAATGAGACTAACATTGATAGCACATAGATGTTTTAGCTGTTGCTAAGCAGAGTTTACACTAAGTCAAGGACTTTTCTGCTTCTCACATGAAGTGAGAAGGCTGGGGGGGTGCACAAAATGTTGTGAGGAGATAGAGCTGGGACATCTGACCCCAACTGACCAAAGGGATATTCCATACCATATCATGTCATGCTTAGTATGTAAACCAGGGGCAAATCTGGCTGGGTGCCACTTCTGGGGAGCTGGCTGGGTATCAATCAGCGAGTGGTGAGTAATTGCCTTATACATCATTTGTTTTCTATATTACAATTATTTTCTTATCGTTATCATTATTATTTTCTTCCTTTTCTATCTTACTGAACTGTCTTTATCTTATGACATACATTTTCTCACTTTGATTCTTTTGATTCTCTTTCCCATCACACTGAGGGCTTTTGAGCAAGCAGCTACATGGCGCTTAGTTGCTGGCTGAAGTTAAATCATGACATTGGAGTACAAAGGAAGGATCACTTCCATAGTCCTGCTGGCCACACTATTTCTGATACAAGCCAGAATGCTGTCGGTCTTCTTGGCTGCCTGGGCACACTGCAGGCTCGTGTTCAGGTGGCTGTCAACCAACACCCCCAGGTCCTTCTCCACTGGGCAGCTTTGCAGTCATTCTTCCCTAAGCCTTCAATTAATTTAAAGGTCTTTTGACCCAGAAATTTAAGTGGTTGAGTTCTCTGTGTCTACCTGAAAGTTGAGTCTTGTAGATGAGATTCATAGTTTCAGCATGTATCAGATTTTCTGTGTCTGTCAGGTTTTTGTGTGTACTTGAGGTGGCTGTCAGGAAGAGATGGCTTGCCTGAAACACTTGAATGACTGCTGTGCTTACAAAACAATTGTGCATGGAATAGGTTTTCTTTTCCTTCCTTGAGCCATGAAGAATGGTTAAAGATAGAATAATCTTACCCTTTGCCATTTGTAACAGGAGAAGAGGAAGAATGTCAGCAAGTCTTGTG